CCACACATCTTTTATAGATGCACATGCTGTGCAGAGCTCCTGTGTTTACTTAGACAGAAGTGAAATCTGTTAGAAAGATCTAAATCCATGGAAGAACAGAAACATATGAGCTTTTGCTGCAGAAGCCTTCATGATCAATTTGTGTTCGGGAGGATCTCTTATCAAATGCAGCTCAGTGCGCAAGGAGGACAAGAATAGAAATGGAGTCTCACAAAGATGTCTTTCTCAGCAGCCCTGTAGAAGTGTAGTGGCACAGTCTAAATCCAGATTGCCGTGATTAGACGATGTTGGAGTTAATGGACTGCAGCGTCGCCCACTCATTTAGATGAAAGTATAACACTCCTCTGGTCAGCAGTGTCAGGGGTGGATGTAGTCAGTGAGCAGCCAATGGGATACTACTATTGTCACAGCAAAATAGACCATAAATATGTTTGTAATCTTAGATAATAGATGTGAAAAGCACTGATTGAACTACCGTGTGTGATTATTAGACTGGGTTTCCCGTGGCCTTGCTTTGATTACCTTTTGAAGCAAAAACTAATTGGGATGTGAGCTTAGTGTGGGGTAAAGTTATTATACTGTACATATAACTTGCATTGCTGGAATGTGAGCATATGCAGACTAGGCCATCTAAACTCACCAAATATTAAATGATATTATTACAAAGGTTTGTTTTTTTGACTGCTGCAGTACCTTCCAGTTCTGCCCCCTTGCCCCTCTATCATGGAGACCATAATAAAGCTGGGTTCTCAGCCTTGTGGATGCTTCAGCAGACGGAGGAGGAGAAAATACTGTGAACGTGTACTCTGTTCAAATCTTCATTGTGGATATACCTCCAGACGATCTGTGGGAAAAGAGCTTGATTCATTCAGCTTCATTATTTCCATATATTTGTTTCAGAAACTGTGTAAATATATGAGGGTTTTATCACCATTTATGTCCCTCAGAGGGAGGTAAAAAATGTAAACCACATTTATTTATTAATTTTAGGTTAAATATATTGATCAGATCCTACATTAATCATTAATTAGCCAGAACAATTAATTAACAGAAATACAAAAAAGAGGGATCGCATTGCAGCAGGTTTGACACCTCATGATCACTGATTCAGTGGCATCTGATCTGTGGTTCTTCAAAAGAGGAATAATAGTAACAGATATGTTCTACAGATTTAACTCAAGTTGTGGGTTACTTACAGTTAACAGCAAACAGAGTGCAAATAATACAGTCAATACTCATTTCACTGTTTAATCTGATTTATGGGCTTCCTCCTGGAGCCTCGTCCATCACTGTCAAAAGCTAGTTAAATTGAAATGGATAAAATGTCAAGATGACTCGGCACAGTCATTGTCTATGTAAATCCTTCAACTTGTTAGCAGTTATTAAATATAACTACACTAGCAAAAGTAAAGTATATTGAGAGCCCAGCTGCTCACAAAATGAGCCGTATGTGGGTTAAAATATGAGTTTTTGGATGGCAGATAATCTGAATGAATTAAACCAAGTGACTATTAAGGACCTGCAGCATTCAACTTAGAAAAGGAAAAATAGCAACAAGATTCATGCAAAAAAAATATATTAATTAAAAATAAATCAAAGGATTATGAGTCCCCTGACTCTGCAGTTCCCATGAGTTCTACGCTGCATTTTAGCTTCTGTCAGCTCATTGTTTGTTTACTGCCACGTGCAGCAGGCAATTATTTTCAACAAAAAACCTATAAACTCACAATCAAGTGCGTACGCAGCACTGCAACAAAGACAACATTGGCAACTAGCTGTTGAACGCGGCGGAACATTCAGTGCCCAATCACAAATTTGACAAGGAGGGAGATGCGAGGTTGTATACTTAAAACCAACACAGACATATTAAATGTAACACAAAACAAACAGTAGAGCGCATATATCAGCAAAGTAAACAATGAAAGCCATAGATGCTGTACATGCCTTGGATACATGGAAGATCCAGACTAACAACCTTGGATATTAGCTAAGGTTGAACAGCATGAGAGACAGTGGGAGGGGCTTCACACCACTGTATTTCTCTCAGGAGATGGTGGAGACCAAAACAGAGTTGATAAAAGTGGTTTGCTACTATTTACCAGGTGGCCCAAAACACAACTCCTCTGAATGCTAATGTTGCTCTGTAACTGCTGGACACTGAATTAATTTCAAAATAATGGCATCTTAACTTTATTAAGTGAGAACTTTTTTTCCCCCCAAATTAATGCATTAAAAAAAAGGTATCTCATTTATGAGTTGTTCATCTTGTTGATTAATTAGGCAGTTTAAAGTCTGTGAAAGATGTTTCCCTGTATAATCAGGCAGGATTTACCCGTCACTCGCCTTTTCATGATCATGATCTTTTATCCACCATTCGGCATGGATAGATATGCATGAAAAACAATTCATTTGTCAGCCTGTTCACTTGCATAGGTCAAAGAATTCAAGCGTGAAATAAAAAGAGGAAAAGATTAAGCTTACATCTGCATCTGCGGGCCATTACACCCTGTCAGCTGATGCGCTCACCTATAGTCTGTTGCCTGGGGATATCTGAGAAGATACAGTTTAGGACTAGTAGTCATGGCAACGTAGTTATGAGTCAGATTCACTTCCACAGAAAACAATTAGCAGTGACATTTATCCACATGTGAAGCACTTTGGCTGCATGGTGAACAGATTTCTCGCCCACATGCGCTGTTCAGGAAAAAAAATTCAGCTTAAAGCCGAATTCTCACTCGAACACGGTCGTCTCCTTATTGTGGGTGGAGATTCCTTTCAAATCCTTAATGTATTTTTCAACTAACAAGTTTAGCTGCTTGGATTATTTTTCTGTGTGTGGTCCTACATGCCCTGCAGGTACTGACAGCTTCCCTTCAGCCACCTGTGGCTCACCTGCAGGAGAGACGGAACAGAGGAAACCTCCCTGCAACCAGAGGGTTGTTATTCTCCCTTCTGACAAGCTGCTCTACAATGCCATGTAGTATTAAAAACAGCTGATTCTCCCGACCACACCAAGGCTTCTGCCAGGAATGGATTCTTCAATGTTTTATGTCGCTATGCTGGGCACAGAAAATAGTGACATGGTATAATAGGTTGCCTCTAAGAGCCTCCTCCCATAAGAGACAAAAATATTATTAGTTATAGAAATAGACGGAGAAAGGGAGGGTGAGGGGGGGTTAACGTATAGTTTTATATCAAGGAATTATTCAACATATTTGAAAATATGCTTTTCTACTTGATAGACACCGTTTTAAATACTCTTAAAATGACCTAAATTCCTTGTCAAAAGACACCGGTAATGAAAAGGAGGCATACTTTGTATAAAAATGTAGGAATAAAGCACACCATGACTAACTCCATTGCAAGATTAAGTACCACTGAAGTTAAAAAAATAAGTAATTTCCTTCTTCCCTAAACTCATTGGTTTTGATCCCACGAATTTACTTATTTTTAATGGTAGGTACCAAGGAAGTATTTGCATGCGATTACTCTGAGCAAGAGCTTATATTAGAGTTTATATCCAAATCTCAACTACCATACGATCTCTTTGCTCCTGTTGTAGCAAAGCTAAAATAACAGGATAATGCAATCTCTAGACGAATTGCGAGTATCAATACTGGATTTTGAAAAGCTGAGACTAAAATATATTTGCTGCCTTTAATCTGTATGAAAAAGCTGTTGAAGAACTATGAATGAGTTGGAAAAGAAGGAACAGGAAAATGGGTGTGTCCAATGAGGAAATATCAATCCGTCTTGTTGAATATAATGTTTGAATTGGATTTAATAATTCAATGTTATATCATGTTGTAATTTACTATAATTTTGCAAATGCTGGATGTCAAAAGGAAGACAGACGTGTTATCACCATCAGGCCCGCTCCTCTCAGAGACGCTGCATGTAACCGCTGCTCAGACACAGACAGCTCAATCACTGTAGGATGCAGTTGGATGCATCTTTTACTGCACAATTACAGAGAATGCATCTCGGCAGTGTACTTTATGCCAACATTTAAAAAAAAGAGATGAAAAAGAAACCATACTAATTGTGTGGTACGAGATGATGTGCTAAATCAATAAGGGGGATGCATGTATGTGTACTAATTAAGTAAATATACACACGCACACACACAGACACCCAATCTACAGCCATTTTGAAGCTGAAATTAATGTTTGTGACAAGCACCACGAGGAAATCAGCACAAGAGGTCACCAAAAAGCAGAAGTAAGTAATGTGCATCAGAATACTGTTTTGGTGTATTGCTTTCATTCAAAAGTTGAGCAGGCAGAGGCGCTGTTATTGCATATATTAAGACGTGTTAGTGAGGGAGGTCCTTTTGATGAAAGTGGGTTTGCATGTATATTTAATGCCAATGGTTTGCCGAGCTCTGCTTGAATGTGCATGGTAATGAGGACTGACATGTTGAAAACAGGCTGTGCCACTCGTCTCCTCCCCAGGTGCACAAAACAGTCAGAGCAGAAAGCAGCCCCATTTCTCTGCCTCTGCTTTTGCATTTCGCATTACAAACTGACAACATTGCTTCCATGGCTGTCTTTTCTAAATGCCGTGCGTGTCTGTGCAGCTCAATAAAAGGTCATTTTAAGTTAGTTGTTAGTAGTTCTGCTCACTAAAACTGAAATGCAAATAGACTTAATGATGCAAATTAAGAAAACAGTCATCAGCTGACAAGCTAATTTCCTGGCCTTGCAAAAGTGAAAAAATATATCCAATTGAGAAACACACTTATGTACACTTCACAATCATGTTGTAAAATTAGCCAACAATTATTATTTTTAGTTTTAACATTCTGAATGATTGATCTATGGTGTATATCCTGCAAAGTAAAACGCCTCTCACCCCATTGCAAGCCTACATGAAAGGCATGGGCATGTCCATCAGTTAGAAGTGTCACTGCAAACTTTACATCTTTACATCTAAGTTGTTTGCAACTTGCAGCTTGAAACAAAATGTTTGACAGTAAAAAATCCATTTGGTATTTAGAGTAAATTCCAATCATTTTAATTCCATTTGCAGGGAAAATCTTTTGTTAAGATTTGAACAGAAAAATAACATTTGCACTCAGTAGTTTACATCAATTATTTTACTGTTATATATAACAAATGACCAACATATTTACACATATAAAATAATCATTTTCAGATTTATTCCAATATTTCCCCACCTGTTCAGCTGAATCGCATAATAAACCTACAACCCTGAGACACTAAATAAAAATAATTACAGCAAAAAAAGGTTCAGAAAACTTGCTACACAGTAGCAATTATGAACAAAGTACAAAAAAATATTGGACCCATTACATCTTTTACAAAACAAAATCTGACTGTGCTGTATTTACCACAAAATGTACCTTATACTACCTTGTCAAGTCTGCAAAATATCTGCCAACTATGGCTGCTCCTGTATGCAAAATGTTTAACATTTACGATGTGATGTCAACTCAGCTCATAAGAAGACATTGCTGTGCTCAAAAGAGTCGCGTTCAACTACTTATCGCTCTTCTGTCAGGCTCCCAATTCTTATTCTTTCACACAAATGTGCACACAAAAGAAACAACTTCATCTATGCAGTCCAGTGTTCCCTCAAGCGGGCTTTCACAAGGAGCCGCTAAACAGCACGTTTGTGATGGACCACTTCTGTCCGGTGCATTTCTGCAGAGCCAGTTGGTAGCCGAACTCATTGTCGCTGCTCACTACGAGCTCCAGGCATCTCTTTGATTTCCTGTTCTGAATGGATCCTCCCTGAAAAGATAAAAGCAGGCTGGTGAAAATTGTGCCGGCCCCTAGAGAACATCTTTGTACACAATAGAACTTTCCTCCTTTAAACCCGTACCGCTGTAAATGGATATGGATGTGTGCAGCTGAAGCGCCATGAGCATTTTGGCTGAATCGCACAACCATCCTCATTGGCCCTTCTAGATAGCATCAACAGGGTTTCAAGGCAAAAACAACAGGACAATTGCCAGTGTGGTCATTAGCGTTGTTCCTAGCAAGGTGCAAGATTTTGAAAGGACTACAAGAAAAGAGGAAAACCAGACACAAAAACAAAGGAATAAAAACCTCAGTTTCAAAGCCATAACAATATTGTTGGAATCTATCATCATTTAAAAACTGTAATGTATCAGCCGTTGCAAGTGTCCGAAAGGAGCAAGCAAAAATATTGCTGCATGTCCGGATAAATGAGGGAGGATTTTCTCATTATGATCTCAGGGCAGACCAGGGGCAAGTGATGGAAGAGAAGATCTTCAACAGCCAATACAGTGTGAAGAGAGCTGCAAAGAGAACACTTTTTCAATACTATGAGAGCACTGCCGGGGGACACGGGAGAAAAAAGACCTTAAGATTGGACAGGTTGTGTAGACTGAACCAAATTACTCTTTGGCCAGAGTTTGGCCCATCCGTGGGGTCCAAAATACATCTATATTTTATAGATAACAGATGGTAATAACTGCTGAAAGTGGGCATTTATGGACCAAAATGCGGCGGTGTCCCGAGCCAGCTCATAAAAGCAGTGAAAGAGGTAATTAAGGCATTTTTTTACTTAATAGGTAGCAGCCACAAAAGCCAGATTTCTTTCAGATCCCTACTACAGTTTACACCAGCTTCAGCAGGGAACTGCAGAGATTGTTAAATTTTTGTATACTATTATTTTTTTAACATTTTTACCATCTCCATGACAACTGAGCTGAGCTGAACCTGAAGTTTCAACTCCAACTAAAGGCTTTGGAAACAACAAACTGCTGTTTGCAAAATCAAGCAGAAATGAGAGAATATAGTATAATATAATATTCCAACAGTTATATTATACAGACACAAACTTCACAGCCAAGATTTCCAAGGCTGCAATGTAAAAGTGAGCCTACCAAGGCTGACAAAGAAACACCGTAAACCTGTTTAAACCCTATTCAGAAAACAGCTCAAACATTTGGTTGGTGCATCCTTGGTTATGGGTGCTGTCGGAGTGATTTTCATACCACTAAGTGTCTAACCACTAAATCAGGCATTATGAATTAGATTCAATCGTCATTCAGTTTCATGTTAAAAACAGATTTGAGTATGGAGGTGCTTATTTTAAAATGAATTCTTTATCTCAGTTAAGTCTAATACAGGGTGAACGTCGTTTTGTTCTCTAACTCGTGTTAGCTGAAATCTTTTACAGCTTGGACGAGTGACATGTCGGTTCTGTGGCCTTCATTTAGTAGACAACGAAGCATCAGTAGAAGAGGCATGGAGCAGTTTATTTCAATCCAGGGATGTAGCAATTATTCTGTCTCTTGAATGAAGTCTGCATGCTTAATCCTGCCTAAACAACTCCACAAATGCCTAAACAAATTAAAGTTGTGAGTGGGGATTCAGAAGACTGGAACGAGCCAGAATCACTGTAAATACAAAACGGTAACTGGCTTTTACTCAGTATTCACAAGTTCTCATTATGATGAATGTGTATGTGAGTAAATGGCATATGGAGAGGATATTGTTGGACTCTGGGTTATATAGTTTGCCATTGATTTTTAAAAATTATATCCTGTATACAGAAGAATCTGTGTTTGTTACAGAAACATAAAAACGTATCACCCACACACCCTCAAAACACACGGGCAGAAAAGATGTTGTCCATTGTTTCATTGTCTTACTGTTCAATGTTCAAGTTCCTTGAATGTCTAACATACTTTGGAAATAAATGTTCTTGATTCCTGATGCCACCCACTGAACATGTGCTTGCTTTACTAATCAGCACCTACCAAGATGTTAAATCTTTACATTCAAGAACACATTTAATTTCTTTCCCTAATCAAGGCTTATCAAGATCACTTATTCTTGGTCAAGAGATTTATAAAGTGGATGGCGGAAGTGAAGTCATTTAGAAAAACCTGCCTAATAACATTTTTATAACATTAATAATATCTTCATAATAGCTTTTGCGTTTCTATGGAGCCATCAGAAAATCAGTTTTCAATTTGAGCTCAATACTTACATAGAGAGTCAAAACTGTGAAAGATTGATGATATATTTCAGTGACTTGATATTGTCGACATTGCTGATAGGTCCCCATCTTGCGTACTAAATTATGCAAACTTAACTAAAATAACCACTTAAAGTTGTGAGGATGTGTGATGCATGAGCTCAAGCGTGTAAAACCGTCTTACATTTTCACTTCATCTCGCTGTAAAACCAAACACATGCACTTGCAGCGACAGTCCAGCAGTGATATCGCCGAACCAATATTTTATTTATCTAAAATGACATGATTGAAAGAGCAGTACAATCTATAATTAACAGTGCACTGACAGCATGGCAGACAATATGAGGTATTTTGAGCACAAATCAGTAAATCCAATTGCCCCGCTGTCATGGGGCATTTTGTGAGGTGGCTCCTTTTTCTGTCAAAACACATTTTGCACACGCAGCTAATGCAGGAAGACAATTATTAAATATCAATTACTCTTGATGTATAAATGAGTTAGATAACTCAGGGGTCATAGAGTAAACCAAACCACTCTCACGATTAAAAGCTACCTCAACATTTCCTTTTCTCCTAACAACTTAACAAAATCGGGGTGGTGGGTCACCTGAGTGAAGAGCCAGTGCAGCTTCATGCGTTTGGTGGTGGCGTAGCTGCACTCTATGAGGCGCGGCCTGCCGTTCACGTCCACCAGGCACTTGTTGTCGTCATCATCAACTGTTGGACTGAGGAGGCCGATGTGGAGCTGCTGAGCACTGGTGTAGTACACGTTCTGCGGGAGACAACACATCGTGCTACCAACAAATTGCTGAGTTCTGTACTGTGGGCTGAGACTGCTGTGGTTGACATTTCAATGACGGTCCCTGCAGAGCTGTAGGTAATAAAATATGCAGCAAAATGAGGATTGCTCTCGGTTGTCTTTGGGTTTGAAAAAATACATTTACATAGATTAAATATGCATATTTATACAGTTATCCTGAATTCATTCAAGACAATAAAAGGCAAGCAAAAAGAAGACAAAAGAAGTTAATTATTAATTCAGTAACGTCAGGAAAACCAGAATAAATTTGCTCCTCTCTCGCAAAAACTGAAAATCATTTTTAGGAATTTGGCAGGAGAAGAAATGATCCGCATTCAAAAAGAGAAAAAAGGCTTTGCAGTATGAGCATTATAGAGGGAAGAGAGAGGGAATCTTGGGATTATGTTTACAGACCGGCAGAGCAGTGCTCACAGTCTGTCGGCGTAACGCTAGCTTTGGTTTGTTGTGGTGTACACAGCGACAAGCTAGAGGTCGTGAAACAACAAGGCTGGACTGCACAAGATGAAAATGTCAATTTGTGTATTGTACAGAGGTGGAAAGTCAACTGAATTAATGCAATTACGTTTCAATATACTTCTACTGAGTGAACACTACATTTTAACAGCTATTACCATATATTGGTATGCATAATTCAAATGTTAAAGAGGACTAAACAGAGTATAAAGAAGTAGAACATTTGTCCGTAAAAGTCTAGTCTATTTCATACGCTTGTCTGGCACCTTGAATAGCTGTTGAAGCACACCAAGACATGTAAAAAACAGGTTTATGTTTGAATATTCTGCGATCATCTGGTTTTCACTCTTATCCTTCTCTTAGTCTCATCTCACCTCGCCCAAACAGCCTCCTGCCTCCTTCACACCTCACGTTAAACGGTCTGACGAGTGTGAATTCTTTATTTGTGCTGCTCATTTTTGGGAGCAACACAAACTGCCAGGCCGTGTGTGGCTGTGCTTTCTTTTGTTGCTGTGCTAAGTCAGTATATTTTGTTACGGCTTGAGCTGTGCTGTATGTCTGCTGACAACACGCTCTCGTAGAGTCCGTAACGTGTTGCTGTAAGCTTTGGAATGCGCTCTCCTTTCATGTGCCGCTGTGCAATGTTCTTTCAGCGCGTTGATGTATTGCAATTTCAGCAGCACCTCGGATACAAAGAAAACAAGTCTCCCAAAGCAACTCAGTGACATTTCACATGACTAAAGCAAATATTTGTTATATGTGTCATCGTAGAGTCAATCCGGGGTCTAATCCCTCTCCAACATGTAACACTGAAACATAAAAATAGAGCAGACTAGATTTGTCTTGTAGAGGAGATCACTAATCTCATTAGGAACGCTGGTGCTGCTCAAATCCATTGTTCCAAATGCCGGGATTTATCTGAGCTTTATAGAATATAACAGATGTATAATTAGCAGTTTTTAAAGTTATCTAGGTCTCTGCAAGGACTGTGAGAATCCACAATAATATACACGCCTGACACTTTCTCCTGTTTTAATTTGCACTGTGGTGTAAATATCAATACTCGGCACAATGAGTGTGAGACCCCTGATAGGTTCATTTGAATTAAGCGGGATAATGTAAGATCAAGCATCACTCTATGAGACAAGTTTACAATTGTTACGGCAAGGTTAACAATCTCTGAAAACAATGTTCTCAGATATAATGGGATGGAGAAATCAATCGCTCGAAGACGCTGGAGAGAGTAAATGAGTATCTGTAGCTGTGCTAACATTTGAAGACACTTACTGACTGTTATTGGCTGGGATATATCCTGGACACGTAGTCTACAGATATGGTCTTCAAGACATTGGACAAGGAAAAAAAGAAGCAAGCGGTCGATATGATCCTGAAGACTAGGTGTAGGAAAACTGGAGAGAGGGACAAATCTAAAGTTATGATCTAAAAAACAAAAACAGGATTTTTGATTTTTTCAATAACGTGGCACTTTACTCAGAGCTGGACTTAGCCAGGAAATGTCAGCATTAAACGAAGCTCTATGTAAAACGCAGTATATTATGTATCTTAACACATAGGTGTGTTTTTGTAAAGGGCAACTGAGTTCGATTCAATCTGAACGTTGTTTTTCTTCAAAATGAAAATGAAATCCTGAGATGTAAACACAATATAGGGTTGGTATATTAAATCTTTATGCTGCGCGCTGCATGAAACTGCGCTGTGTAGGTAGAGGACTCTAACCTGAGGAGTCATCCCGTGGCAGAGATACAGGATGGGGACGTTATCATTTTCCGGCCCCTGGTCCAGACACAGATCACTCTTCAGAGAGTTCTTCAGCTGGCAGACGGAGAAAAACACATTCAGAAAAGACAAATACATTAACAAAGAAACAAAATATAGGATTAGTTTAAGGGCAAAATGGTGTGATAGATGTACAGTATGTAAGCACAGACTAATCCAGTAGTATTGCTACAGCGAATGGTGGTTTCTGTACCGATGTTTTAAGATGTAAGATGGGAGATTTTAAGATTTGCAGTCATATTTTCAGGGGTTTTAAGGCTGTTGAAGGATATAGTTACCCACCAATTCTGAGAGATGAAAGAGTTTATATTCTATACTGTCTTTGAAAAAAGTAAGTGAGATTTAAAGAATAAATACATTTTTAGCTGAGAATAGAAAAATAGATGTTCAACCTTTTTGCTCATTGATGGGTTAATATCTATTGTTTAGAATACTAAAATTATGTTTGATGTTGTTTTATTATGTATTCATAGGTATCTGGATTTGTCTTGTAATTCTTTGTCACAAGTTAATGAAGAAATGGGACACTGTCTTTTCTGATTAGTATTGCTTGTGACCTGAATGTAATATGATTGTACATTTTATTGGGAAACCGAAAACGTCCTTAAACACCATCCTGATTAAGTCAAATTTGTTTGAAATTGTGACGTGAATAAAATGTTGTGGACTAGACAACAAGTAATGGTTGCACATAATTTCTGTCTGGTGTTCCCAGAAAAGATAATATTGCCAAAACACAGTGAGAGTGAGCAAGCAGCACATTCAACATGCGCAAATCTGCAGTACTTTATGTTGTCTTCAGGGGAAACTACGGGCAAACACTAAGCACCTGCTGGTTCATATGTAAATGTTTCCATTTGGTTGTGTGAGACAGGTGTTTTAAAACAAAAAAAGCAAAAGAAGAATGGTAATCCAATAACAGCATCCAGCTGGTCTACTCTCTGAGACTCACAAAAAAAGATAATATAAATATTAATTGCTATTTAGAGAAAAACAGAAGAAGTTTGTAAAAAAATGTTTAAAATTCTCTTAATTAATCTTGCTTCATAAAACCATTTAATCAGAAGCGTTGCGGTTGATGAACAAGACAAGATTTTGAGGCCCGGAGGGTTATTCATGCACATCATGACAAGGGTCTGCCTGATTGCGAGATACAAACTGCTCTGCGGGGATCCCCATGGAGAGCGGTTCTGCGTGGGGTGTGAATTAGGTAAAGATGTGAGATGTGAGATCAGAGAACAGCCAAGGGAAGACTCAGCTCCCCGTTGGCCCAGGAGATTTGTACTTCTATCTAAGAATCAGTAAATCCACAGACAGCTCAGGTCTACCAGTGGAGATGAGCAAATATGCAACAGTGACACCAGCGGGGATAACATCAGATTAAAGCACACAGGCATTTAGAGCATCTTTAGCTTCCGTAATGCGTAGTGTGTGTCTGACTGAGACGCAACATCCTTCAGATTCGATTGTACTACTCCATCTGGACACGGCTGAGCAGATGCAGAGCCCTACGGAGCTGTAGGGAGAAAAGTGTCCTCCGCCTGCACCTTCCATCACCCACATTTTTATATCAGGCGGAGGAAGAGAGAGATATGAATAAATTAGACCGCAAAACATCCTTCGGAAATGTCAAAGTTTTTGCAAAAAAAAAAGAAATATATTTATGCATGTAACAACTCTTCAAACCGCCCCGACTGACTAACCCATCAAAGGCATGTCACAAATATAGAATAATGAGGTCAATTTACTTGAGGGAAATGAATGTAATGATGCCGGCCTATTTCCTCACTACACCGATGCACCCTTTCCCCTTTTTGTAATAACAAAAATCCTCCATGCAACATAGAAAGTGGTGTCATAATACTGCGCCGTGTGTGTCACTGTGAATTAGGGTCTACCACAGTGATGTGAGGTGGGAGGACAGTGGAAATAAAGCTGTTTGAGAACCACTATGAAACACTGCCAACCCCCATTGGCTGTTACTTTTGCTAACGTTGCTCACTACTAAAATTCTGTTGCAAAATTGGAAATACTAGATCTATATTCAAATGAGTCTATTTTCATTACGCTAATCAAACTATTCCTTTGCAACGGCTAAATTGAGGGGTAAAGTTGCTGCAGCAAACCTCCTTCTCTGTGTGAACTGTATGTGCTCTTGACAGCAGCCATCCGGATCCCAAGCACAGGGGATTAAAATGATTTGCTCAGGCACGGTTAAGACTTGTTTTGCCTTTCCCAGACGCCGGATTGCATTCGGGAAGAAGAGGGTAGGCGGCTTACTACTCCATATGCGACGGTGTCACTGTACATCCTCATCTCCGGGTAGATGTTGACCAGGTACCAGCGGAAAGTTTTACACTGCAGCCTCTTCCTCAGAGCCTTCCTCTCAGAGATATCGCCAATATCGATGCCCGGGTCCTGGGTTCAAGCAAGCAAACAAACACACACAAAGACAAATAGATGTACACAAAGCAGACGATTGATTAACTATAACTAGTTGACAAGTAAATCAGTTAGAAGGCCCATTGAGGAATACAGTGCAGCCATTTGTTGTGGATTTGTATAGCTTTTCTAGGATATGGATTTTTTCCTGCTCTGGTTTAAAACAAAACAACTGAAATATTTGAGCTGCTGATTGTTGCAGTTGTTACTGCACTACTACATTTATTTGATGACTAAATCTACTGGTTACATTTTATATCAAGATTTTACAATTTTACAATTGTGAATGTGATTGTAGACGCAGGCTAAATGATGAGCATCAACTAGGGACAGAAAAAAATGAAAATGCTGGCTTAGTGGATCTGGACGACTTAGAAACTATTGAGTGTAACGCACTCTACAACACTGCTGACATTGGTTGTAAGACCACAAACCATAAAACAGACAATTTCATTTAGAACTATATAAATGACCAGGGCATGCAGTTCAATATCCCTCCTACTCTTATTCTATTTCTAGGAAACTGCCTAACATTGTATGAAGCAACAACAGTAAAATGCATCCTTTATTGATGCACCTGAATACTGTACTAACATCATACATAATATATAGTCTCAGTCAGAGGGGCAGATTTGAATGCAAAATGACTAATTGTGCCTTTTGATATTTCAAGATCATTCAACCCCTAATGTACTTTCAGTAATTCAAATGCTGAATTTTTTAAGCGGGTACTTTGATCTTTGATCTGAAGTTAAGGATCTGAGTACTTCTTCCACCAATGCATTACCATCTGCCCCATGTTGAATACTGTATCGTCATTGACATTATTCATGCCTTTTTTGTAACTCTAAAGCTAAAGTTGGTGCAAAATGTTGCATATTTGGCTCTCTGGTACTCCAAAACAAGATAATGCTCAATTGGACTTTATGAATTTAACACTCAAGTTAAGTTTAACAAAAGTGTTGACAATTCAGGAGGCTAAAGCACCGGCTAAATATTATGCTTCTTGAGTACAGACTCTGTTAAGCGCCTCATCTATTCATAACTTGGATTTACATTCATAGATTTAAATTTTGAGATTATGCAGGAGAAGAAAAAAAGCTTCTGTGATCAAACATTTGACTTAAGCCTTTCAGGGGTTCTAATATAAGACAATGGAGTAAGTTATTTATTTTAAATTACAGAATCCAGTTTGAGATCAAATAAAAATGACTCACAAAACACTAATGTACAACACTAATACAACCGTACAGCATATACATTTTGTATTAGTAATATTCATAGAAACTGTGTGACATTTTGTATTTTATTTTTTGACAATGTCTTGAATTGTTAATGAAATGAAGTGAAATTTTAAAAATCCATCCATCCATCCATCCATTGTCAAACCGCTTATCCTGCACACAGGGTCGTGGGGGGGGCTGGAGTCCATCCCAGCCAACTTCGGGCGATAGACAGGGTACACCCTAGACTGGTCGCCAGCCAATCGCAGGGCTACACAGAGACATACAACCATTCACACTCACATTCACACATCTACGGGCAATTTAAAGTCCCCAATTAACCTGATCCCCAGAGCATGTCTTTGGACTGTAGGAGGAAGCCGGAGAACCCGGAGAGAACCCACGCAGACATGGGGAAAACATGCAGACTCCACACAGAAAGGCCACTGGGCAGAATCGAACCCAGGACCTTCTTGCTGTGAGGCAACAATGCTAACCACCACGCCACCGTGCCGCCCAATTTTAAAAATACATAATTCAATTTAATTAATTATGCAGATCTTTTTTTCTACCTGTATTATTTATCATTTTGCTACTAAGCATCAGCTGTAATCCAGAATCTTTAATTCATTTTTTAAAATGTTATTGTGTTTTCTTTTTGTATCACATTTTCTAACTCCCAATGTCCCCATTCAGAACGCTTTATTGAATCCCATTACGTATTTATTTATTCTGTGGCACGTATTTAATTTAGGCCATTCTGTAAGTACCACGAAATCATTTCATTTGAGCCTTCTGGAGGTGTCCGGGGCCTGATTCAACATCTGTGGTGGCGGGAGAGCAGCAGATGACGCTCAACCCCGTGACATTTAGATAAGGTGGCTGCAGAATGGAGCTGCCTGTTGGTGCAATACATTTGTCATCTGTTTGTATGTTTGTGTGTTTGTGTCTTCTTTCGGACTTGTGTGAGAACGCTACCTTTGGATAATGATGCAAAAGGCAGCAACACCAAATCCTGTGTCTGGATGACATAAAAAAACTACTTTGCCTTCTGTCAATTAAGCCTGCAGCCAGTTTATGGTTGACATCTGACATTTGAGAAATGGGACACGTGAACAGGCTGAGGTTTGTGTTAAACAGAGAATGCAGTTAAGCCTGCATGATTCCACCTCAGCTGACATAAAACTCTGAAGCAATTTGATACATTTTCGTGTTCAGTTACACAGACAGTTGTGTGGTTTCCTTTTTTTAACCATGTGTCAACAACAATAATCAGTCTTCTTTAAAGGATTGATTTAATTTAAAAACAGACTTTTACCCAGATTGTGCGTTCCTGCTGATCCATGAACTATGTGCTACTTTCATAGGGCCCTGCAGTAACAATGGTTCTTTGGCAGTGGACTTAAGGTAATCTAAGGGACTCTGGTCTAGTGGATAAGCCGCATGCCGCATTACATCACCTCAACTCTTGAATTTCCTGTCAGCATATTAACTGTGTACCATCCGGTAAAGGCCAAAGGGCAAAACAATATTTGGATAAAAAGGACAAATGGAAACAGGTCCGTCATAGTGATGAAATGAAAATACAACGGCAGTAATTGTACTGCGAATGTGTCTTTTTGTTAGTGAAAATTTCATCAGAATTTCACACAATACAAAAAACACTCACATATTCCAAAAAAATAAAAACTACAATAATGATACCTTTACATCGTACATGACTACACACAGATAATTGCCTGTATTCTCACAACAATGTGATACGTTTTGGACCTCAACAAAGTTAATGCATAAGATCACACATGACTAGCTGAAAAACAGCATGATTCACTTACCTCCATGGGAATATTCCAGGCCATGTAGACGTGGCTTTTAAACTCATCCATCCACACTTCCGCGACCCTTAGGGCATTTCGCCGCACGTGAGACGTCAGATCCTCTGTGTAGGGTTTATGGGCGCGCTCTATGTGTGCGATGCGAGCACAGGGCAGGACCTCCACACTGCCGCCACACTGCCAAACCTGGTTTTAAACATAACGAACACAAAGGAAGGAGAATACTGTCGTTAATCTACAAGCAAGGAGTCTGCTTCAGGAACCCCTCTGATTCTATTGTCTGACGTAAAGACCGACAGAGGTTTGAGAGCATTTAGAAGGATCTCAGTGCAGGGGGCGACGATGACCTTAATTCAATTCTAGGCGGCTTAAAGCATGTTTTGGTCAACAGACGGAGGCCCTTCGTCGTCACCTCAGAAGCCTACTGTATCACTGACTGGGAGGAGGAGGTCCCTGTGGTGGGAAACGTTGTTCCCAGTGCACAAGAGGAGCAGCCTGAGTCCTTGATGACTGAAAGCCATTGGCACTAACACCTGATATAATGAAGACCTCTGGGAGGCACAGGACCGTGGTGCTGGGAGCTCTGCAATCTTTTCCCAAATGGGATTTATCCAACAAACGGTGACAGAAAAAGACTCCAGACAACTCAATGAATATTTGGTAAATGTATTTTGTGTGCACGTGATGACACTCCTGTGTCACAGATGTTCTTTTTTGCAGCATTATATGATTTGTGACGTTCTGCTCAGACAGTCTGTGTCTACAGGAAGCAACAAAAACAAGGTGCAGTTGACTTTTTCGTGTCTGGGTTATTACAATGCTGTCCATATTTCCACCAAACACCTCAAATCAACATGCAATGACACATTACATGTGTTTGCTATGTTTTGTAATGTAATTGTGTTGTGTATTCTTGAACAGCTCTAATTGCCCATATGAGCCATTGACATTTCAAATTATTCTGTCATCTCTTGATTAACATGTGTGCATCAAAAAGAAAGGGGATTTACAAAAACTTTGAAGATAACTATTTGAGAATCAAAGCGTGAAAGGAAATAAATTAGGCCGCACAACACCACTGACTCGCATCTGAAGAATTTGAATAGACTCAAAGACTCAGCAGAAGCAATGAATATGTCCTTCTCTGTTCACAGGCGCTCATTTGTATGGAATCATCAAAGGAGATGTCACTCCCGGATTCTGTTGAGGATCCCCAGAAACTATTTGAATGTGCTGCGCATAACATCCGGGACACCCGGAGTTTCAGTATGAATAAGGTTGAAATCATCACCGCTTGTGCTGCTGTGCAAGGATCAACTTGTGCAGCTGACACCCTTTGTGTTTAAGTAAAATGTATCATTTCTATCAAAGAAGCTGCTACCAAAAAACATATAACAGTTTTTGGTACAGATGAGCATCATTACGGATGATGACATGTAAATGTGTTCGGTTTGTAGTCAAGCATGTGTGGCCACAGGCGGCTGGTGTTTTGTTATTGATAGTAACTCAAGAGAAAATGGCCCCTTCACTGTTTTTATTGTTTTTAGTGGCTTTTGCAACAGTAAAAAAAACAAACCCTGCTGGAAGTGCCCATTTAAAATCCAGAGCTGGTAATTAGCTGAGCGTTATGAACTCAATGACCCATCACAGTATGCATTTTCGCACAAAAACCTTGTTAAAGGGAAGCAGTACAATGCTGAACATGTGCAGTATTTCTACATAGAGATTTCTCTCAACATAACAAGTGTGAAGATATATGAGGAACATCATGTATAATTACTTTCTCCGAATTTAAGATGGACAAAGAATTAAGCTTGTCAGCTCAGTGTGGGTAGATAATAAGTAAATAATACTGAAATAACGTCTCTATTTCAATTCAATAGAAACTGCTTTGTAGTGGCGTCCCAGCATCACACTGAAACACCAAATTGCTGACTGATATATTTGTTTGTGGGCCTTTTCCAAAAGCAAATAAATGACATAATTTTGAATCAACACATAATCTGTCGCGCTCTTATCCCTCTGGACCCAACCTAACACATGACCTGTAAGATTTGTTCATGCTGACAACTGCGCAGTGAAACATTTGATCAATTGTGCCTTCACTTTCTAAAAGCCACAGTCAATCACAGCCTATGTGCAACGACGCCCCCCCTTCAGCCCCCCCTGCCCTCATTCTTCAGTGTCCACTTTCCTTTCAAACAATAAAACAAATGGTTCAGATTTTGTGCCCCCTGCAGTTAACAACCAATCGTCTGCTGCCTATTTTCCAAATGAATCACAAGAACGGGGTCATTACTGCCAACACACAGCAGAAGACCTCCACTAATAGCCGAGGACTGCATTGTTATTCCATTCAAAATGTAACATTCTTTTATCGTGGGATATTCCTAATAAAGCACTCCCCTTGCACCTTCTAATTTGCATGCGTGACTCATTCAATTTCTTTGTCTGCAGTCAAAGTGGAAAGCGCGGCTCAACAGCATCCGCAACAAGAACCTACATGCCCCAAGATGGTGGCATCACCTCAGACGAGAAATGGACACTAAGGAGTAAAAGGAATAGAAAATAACAAAATTTGAGGCTTGGTGCACGTTATTTAGGACTAGTATTATGCTGCGTTCACTTGAATACGAACAAATCCAATCGCCACTTCGCGACATTCGGTCTACCTCGGGTTATTAGAAGTCCGGTCCTCACTCCACCCAGTCTCCCTGACTCCAGAGTGACGGAACAATCTCAGTGCACAACCACTCCCTTCCCTTGTAAACTTAAAAACCCATCTCCTCAAGAAATGCCTCACGTCCCCTGCTCCCACTAGTATTACACGCCACATCCTCATACAAATATGCTCCTGTCTAAGTCTGATCTTGCTGTTCTGCCTCTAATTTATTTTTCTTGCAGAGAAGGTCTCATATTACAGAACTGTTTGCTCAGATCTATTACCAGGGCACCATCAGCCCGAGCCTAAGCTAATTTTTTACTGCTGCACTCATTGTAATTTGCTTTGGATAAGAGCAAGAGCTAAAGAGCTTTAATGTAAAGGTAATGCAAGTGGAAGTGCTTTAAGAATTGTGCTGTCTACAATAGGGCCAGTTATCGAGCAGGGCCTCTAGAGGCTTAACGTGGATTTTGATGGAAGTCTGCACAATCTTTGAGGGCATGAGGCATAGTAATGATTCTGTTTTATGGGGAAGCAATATCAATTTGAATTACAAAAAATACAATTCCCCAGCATAATGGATAGCTTTTTCAACTAGTCATTTTATGAACTTTTTTCAACCGCGTTTGTGTACGTTTGGCTGCTTTAAAGTAGTTCACACTAAATCTATCCTTAGACTGACAAACTCTCACCCCCTGCAGGCTTAAAAGACGGCTGTAACATGTTTCTTTTCTTCTTCTCCTTCACTAACAAACAGCGGCAGCGTTAAACTGCGTAAATTGCAATGATTTCCAACATTTTTAGGTTCCAAATGATGAATGCACACATCAAATGTTTCAAACCACATTTCTCTGCTGCTCATTCATGTCCCCAGTATCGTTAGACCGGCTAAGCGCTGGCTATTTCCGACAAGAGCAGTGCATTTGTACATTTTACACTAATACGAGGCAACCCAATTATCCCCGTGCTCGATCATTATGGAGAGACTACTGTCATATCATAGCTTAGCAACTGCAACTAGGTACAGCAAGTGTGTGAAGCTTTGGAATTCTTCCATGATGAAGTAGTGTGCATGGGGCTGAGAGACCTGTCGTTGCTTCACCACCAACAGCCGAGAAACGGATTGTGTGAGCTGCAAATGTGAGTGACCAGCGTCTTCACCTCCATGTCTTCTGGAGTCAACTACTGACTGTTGGGATATGTTGCTTCAACAGCAACGAAGGAGAGTTGAGACTATTTACTAGTTACTCCTCATTATCTATAATAACATACCAAATTCTTACTCTGGTAAATTGTATGACCATTATTACCTTTAGACAGAAATTAACCATAACATTTAAGTTATTTATTCCTCCATTTTACCACAATTGTGTGGAATTATACTTTCATCTCTACATAAAATGAATTATTAATTTGCCACTACTGAGTATCACTCTCTCAAATGTATTCCTGAAAATCATTTTACAGTCCCTAAATAGCGTAGTAAGAGAGGTACCGTGTACATTTTTGTTTCAGTCCTTCTCTAACAGATGTTGCCTCTGAAGGTTGGTGAACAAACTCTAGGATTCAGAAAAGAGAATGTGGCCTCATGTCGAGCTGACTGCACAGAGATGTGGAGAACCGTGAGTTCATGCATCAGTCATGCCATGAGTCATCACTGCAAGCTGCAAGCTGGATGCGGGAATATGATGAGGTAGGGTGCATTTTCATTATAAACATTGCGCCCCTTAATAAAAGCTGACTGACAGTGGAATTACACAGGAAGTAAGGATACGATAGAAGAATGATTTGTTAATACTTTTGTTTCTTGCAGGATACCAAAGTTAAAAGAAGAAAGGGTTCAGTTTCTCCAATGGTCTGCATAGTCATTACATATAAAACCAAGTCCATAACTTGCGACGGTGTAAAATAGAGGTTGAATACATTTACATGTGTCTGCCAAACTACAGTATAATAGTTTTATTGATATGTGACCAAATCTCCATCGGCGGTATACTTGGAACCATTTGGACCAATAATGTTACACATGTAACTCAACAGTAAATAAAAGACACATTTCTGACGCCTCCCGACAGGATAAGTAGAATATTTTGCATAATATATTTCCTTTAACTTATGATGCTTTAGGAATTCTGTGTATCCAAAGTGTGTCTATCTGCTTTCACCTCTACTGTACCCCTAGACACTCTAACCGGCTTTAAAAACATTGATATTTCCAAATGCATTCATTTCCCAGTTTTTGATGCCTAAACCCTTCACATGAAAGCAAAGACTTAGGTAAAGTTGAGCTATTTTAGTGCCCCAAGCTTATTGAAGCAGTGCAGACAATTGGCGTTGATTTTCCATTGTATCTGTATCGACCTGCTCTGTCTACTGAAAAGGAGCAGTACATTTTCTCTCCTGTCCACAGAACCATCTACAGGAAATCCTAAAACAAATTGTGGAGGAAGAAAGCTGAAGTATGTCTCCACTGCTGTCCTTCTCCAAACATAATTTGCTGACAATTTTACGTTTGCGATGTTTG